CGTTCCCTTCCCCGCCACGCAGGTAACGGCTGCGGTTGTGCCTCTTCTTTGCTCTAAGACAGATACAGCACCAGTCAAGTGTCCAGTCCATCAAACTAGTACAGATGGAAGGGTAAGAAGGAGACTACAAAGCAAAATCAAAGAAACAAGGCAAAAGAAGACTTAGAACTTGGGCCCGTGGAGAGGGCGAGGTGCGCGATTACGAGGGGTGGGGAATAACACACAAGCTTATTCCCTGAAGTACAGCAGATCTAGCACGCATACCGTGGCCGCCGCTAGCCAGGATCTGCGCAATCTTCCGCGAACGAACAAACCGTCCGCGAATCTTCATCTCTGTATGGACAAACAAACAAACAAACCGTCCGCGAATCTTCCTCTCTGTTGTCATACACACTGCCGTTGTCTGAAAACCTGCGGCCCAAGCAACTCCAGTATCAGCTTCTCCAACCTCACGCCGCCTGCCCCCGGCTGTAACGCCGTCGGATCTCCTACAGCCAGGCAAGGGTCAGCTACCTCTCCCCCTCCCCCTCCCTCTCCCTCTTCCCCTTCAACACCAGTTGCAGCCATATCGAAATCATTTCCCCTCCGCCATCGACGAGCGGCGAAGGAATCCGAAGACCGTTCCGACGCCCTCGGTCCGCCGTCCTTTCCCCCCCCCGCCGCTCCGCCTCCTTCCCGACCCCCATCGTCTCCCCTACGTTCCACCCTGGGCCGGACACCTTTCCCCCCGCCACACCAACCACCTTCCACGAACTGCCCCTCCTTTCTCCCCCTCAATTGCTGCGCGTCTATGGCGTCTAAGACCGGCTCGTTCTCCTCAAACTTCCTGGCAAACGGAGCGCTGGAATTGATCATCGCTTCATAAAACGTGGAATTCAATGACAACGGGTGCTGCTTGGGCGGGTTATCCCAAGCAATGTAGTGCAGATCGGAATTGACTGTTGTGTTGAAATACTCTCTGGAGTTGCAGATGACAGTGTGGAAGTAGGACTCCGGAGAAGAGATCACGTTGGCAAAGTACATGAGCGCCAGTCTAGGCAGATTGTCCCAACCAGAGATTAGGTATTGACAGAAACTACGGCTTAGCATCATCCAGGCTGAGCCCTGAAAGAGACGGAAGGCGTTGGGAGTAGCTCGCCTTTGCGTGGTGAAGAACAAATCGGACTTCGACTGTCGATAGATCGCGGGATCGACGACGATCGGACGCACACGCTGCGCCTCTTTCCAGTCCGGAATAACGCTGCTGTGGTCCAGGAAGTTCAAATCGCGCGGCACGGAAGACAACACGTACAGGAAGTCGTCCTGCGTAATCAAAGGGTAGTCCGATGGGCTGAGGTTGATGAACCAATCCCATCGTGACGTCTCCTTAAGGAGTATGGCCATGCCATGCAGCGTGGTGGCGATCATCGTCGGACCGCGGTATGTCACAAGGTTAGAATTAACGATTACGCGGACGTTTCCTACGCGGATAAAAGTGGGATGGAGAGTGACAAAGCGCGCCAAATCCAGTCTCTCTGCCGCCGGCGATTCTCGATCCAGATGCAGCAGGTACTCATTGTGTGGATGGTACAGGGCAAGAAGCAGGCGCTTCATCCGATTTCCATCACCCTTGGTCCCGCCCAAGAAGTATGCAAGTACAGGCGGCTCGTCTAGATGGCCATCAAGGCTGATGCCACGTCGATCACCCGAGACAAAGGAGGAGGAGGAGGGAGAGGAGGAGGAGGAGGAGGAGGAATGGGAAGCGGACCGCGGTACGTGAGAAGAGTCACGAGACAAAGTCGACAGCGAAGAGGAGAATGTCGAGACCGGCGAGAAAGAGGGAGAGAACTCCTTGGAAGCAGAGTTATCAACGAAGCCGCCGAGGTCGTTGGCGCTTGCCACTCGCTGCTGGTCCGGATGATGAGACTCAGGCATTATGGAGCCCCCCCCGACGGAAATGGGATCAATCATCGGACGCATGCCATCACGGTAATTGATCGTCGTTCCAAGGAGCAGAGCGATGGAGATGAGAGAGGTGGCCAGGACTTGGAACATCCATCTTAAATGCCGATCCATCATTTTCCGTCCCTCCCTTCCTCACTCCATCCTTTTGTTGATTCAGAGACTTTCGTTTCAATTCACGTATGCAGAACGGTCGATCCAATCACGTCACGAGCCTTTACATACCGCACAAAGCTGTGTAGCACCTGCTCACACAGATGGTTGTCCAACCTGTTGGATGATGATGGACGAGGCAACTCCCTCCGTTCCTTTCCTTCTCAAGAACACCCATAAAGCTCTGCACCACCTGCACTAGCAGGACTAGCGATGTCCCTTCCCTACTTTACTTCCCGCCGTGTCCAGCCTTCTTTGTCGTCTCTTCTCTCTCTACCGATCAATTCTCTCCTTTCCACCAAGGCGAGTACCCAACCAACCCCTTTTCTCCTCACCTCTCTTTCATCGACCACAGTCATCTGCACTGATTGCCGCCCAACCCTCAGACCTCTAGTGTCCTCCCTCTCCTGACGCCGCCCTTCCCCCTCCCTCCACTTGGGTGCCACGAACCTGCTCTTGCCACCTGCTCCCCCCTCCCCACGCACCCGCGCCTGCCACCTGCTGCTCCCCTTTTCCCCCCGCACCCGCGCCTGCCACCCGCTGCTCCCCTTATCCCCCCGCACCCGCGCCTGCCACCTGCTGCTCCCCTTTTCCCCCGCACCCGCGCCTTTCCTCTTATCTACTCCCGTGCACCTTTCGATATTTGCAATAACTCGATTAGCATCAACACATCAATGCCGACCTACCATAACTCTGCCTGATCCCCCGATCAGGACCAGAGTTTTAAGGTAGGTCGGTGGCTTATCGTTACGATGATGGCACCTTTTTGACGGCGCAGGCTCGCGAATAGCTCAACGTTGACCACAAAAGAGACCAACAGAGGCAGGGATAATAGAAGACCAGAGCAAACCAGAACGATTCGAATACCGCATCCCTGCCCTCCCCCTCATCCTTCAACGCGCACCGATGTCTACTTCCGTGTTTCCTTGCAATCAGCATTGCTACTGGCGATGATGCGGCGCACGATGATGTCGTCTCGAGGGAACGCTTTCCTCTCTTCCTCCGCCGCAGCAGTGCAGATTCCTTCACGGCACGCGTTTCTCTCTTTCTCCGCAAGAACCAGGACTGCTTCACGGAATACGTTCCTTGTTCTCTGCGCAGGAATTTGCAAACTCCTTCAACCCCATAAACCCTACCTTTCTTACCTTAGTCCACTTGAGGCGGGACGATCAGACGACCTCTCGATGGGGGCTTCGACTTGCCGTGGGTGCTGGCTGCTAATCACAGGCCGAACCGAACGGAGCGAGCCCGAAAAGGAGCTAGGCTAGTATAACAATGGTGTCACGTCAGCATCGCCTCGTCGTCGGATGACCAGATACCGTCCACTGCCAGTTGAATTGCTACGTCATACGTAATCCATAAAGACCGCCGGCGCGCAGTGACCATCTCACCGACATCGCATTCATCAAACGCCAGTCACGCTATTACGCGCCATATCATGCCGCAACGTCGTCTAAGACCATCATGGATCGTGGTGTGGGTGCTGTTAATCAAGGGGTGGGTGCTATTAATCAACGGCCGCAACCGATCGAAGCGAGATCTAACAGGAGTGGTGGGAGGCTAAAACAGCAGGTCGCAGCCGTATCGCCTGTCGCGGCAGCATCGCCTCGTCGGATCAGATACCATCCACCGCCACTTGATTACTAACTCGTCAGCCACGAAAAAGAACACCCCCCCTGCGCAGTGACGTTCTCGCCGACGTCGCATTCATCAAAAAAATAGCCATGCTACTCCGCGCCATATCATGCCACGTCGTCTAAGATCATGGATGGGGGCCGATCACCATCACCACGTGCCTTATCGATGGATGGGTCGCGCCTTATTATCCATCGAGAGCAACCGATCACCAGCCCCACATCAAGCCAAACCGCTCTTCTCCTTACGGGTAATACTCGCGACGACTGCATTTCTTTTCCTTCTTCATCTCTCTCCCCTTGGCACAACAGCATTTTGTTCACTTCTCCCCCTCCCCCCCCCTCTCTCTTCCCTTCCCTGCGCAACTTCACTTCCCTCACACTCCCCGCTTCAGTTTCTTGTTCAGCATCATATGCTTGTCGTTTACTTCTCCATCTCTCCGCCCCCCCCCCCCCCCCCCCCTGCGCAACTTCAGCTCCCTCAAGACTCCCTCCCCACCCCCATCTATTTGTTCAACATCATTTCTTAACCGCCTCGCGTCATGCCAAACCGCTCTTCCCCCCACTGGTAATATTCATGACAACTGCATTTTTCGTTTACTTCTCCATCTCTCTCTCCCCCTGGCACATGTGCATTTCGTTTACTTCCCCATCTTTCTCCCCTCCGCCTCTCTGCGCAACAACTTCAGCTCCCTCGAGACTAACCACTTCAATCTACTTGTTCAACACCATTTCCTACCCCCCCCTCGCGTCATGCCAAACCGCTCTTCCCCCTACCGGCAATATTCATGCATCAGCATCTCGTTCACGTCTCCATCTCCCACCCTTGGCACATCTGCATTTCGTTTACTTCTCCATCTTTCTCCCCTGTCCACCTGCGCAACTCCAACTCCACATGTGCATTTCGTTTACTTCCCCATCTTTCTCCCCTCCGCCTCTCTGCGCAACAACTTCAGCTCCCTCGAGACTCCCCACTTCAATCTACTTGTTCAACATCATTTCCTACCACCCCCTCGCGTCATGCCAAACCGCTCTTTCCCCTACCGGCAATATTCATGCATCAGCATCTCGTTCACGTCTCCATCTCCCACCCTTGGCACATCTGCATTTCGTTTACTTCTCCGTCTTTCTCCCCTGTCCTCCTGCGCAACTCCAACTCCCTCAGACTCCCCACACTCCAATTTACTTGTTCGAGATCATTTCTCGCTTTCGTGATCTCACGACTCGCCAGGTGGAATCGTCGTCCGAATCTGCCCTAATCTGCCCGCCACATTCAGCCTTCGATTGCTTTCTTAGATACTTCAGACACCATCCTCAGCAAAGCAACCATGCAGTCCGGCAAGCTACCCTCTTCAACAAAAAAGCATGAAGCAGGCAACTCCCGCACACTGCACGCTGTGCAGGCAGCCACGCACACGAACGCTGCCAGAAGCAAGTAGGCAAATTCACGCACAATGCACGCAAGCACGCAAGCACGGACACGAAGGCTGGCAAAATCAACCACGCAAATTCACGGGCACAATCACCACCAAGGAAAACAAGAAGTACGGTAGCGGGCGCGATCCACTGCTGCGGTGGAGAGGGGCCTTAGATACACAACGGAAAGAAGAAAGGAGACGGATGGCATACGGGACTGATGCATACCGTGGATGAAGGATGTCAACACCAGACCACGCAGAGTGCGAGCGAGCGTCAGAAATGGTTCAGCATTTCCATTTCGCGCACACGAAGTGCAGGGACCGGGCCACTACATCATTTCCCGGACACGAAGTGCAAGGACCGGTCCACTATCATTTCGTGAACACGAAGTGCAAGGACCAGGCCACTACATCATTTCCCGAACACGACGTGCGAGGACCGGGCCACTACATCATTTCCCGAACACAAAGTGCAAGGACCGGACCACTACATCATTTCCCGAACACGAAGTGCAAGGAAGGGGCCACTACATTCCCCGACACACGAGGTGCAAGGACGGGTCCACTACATTCATTTCCGGAACACCAATACGCAGGTCTTCTTCCAGATAAAATACAAAATAGGTAGGTTGTAGATGATGCCTGATCGCACAGAAATGAGTGGCGGCTTCGCCAAAAGAAGGAGAGGAGGACTCTACCTCTGTAGGACCTGACCCTTGTGTGGCGTGCGCGCAGGTTTGTGTTTGCAATGAATGCTGCGAGCGGTTGGGCTCTGGAGGGCGCAGCTAGGGAAGGCTCATTGTCTACCGCGTGGGCGCGGGGAACGCAGCCCTAAGGTAGCCAAATCATTGAGACTAAGAGCTAACACAAGAGAGAGAGAGAGAGAGAGAGAGAGAGAGAGAGAGAGAGAGAGAGAGAGAGAAAGAGAGTTTTGTTCTATGTATTGTTATGAGTGTGAGAGAGAGAGAGAGAGTGAGAGAGAGAAAGTAAGAGAGATAGATGGAGATG